AATATGCTGACTCTCTGTAAACCGCTTAGAGAGGCCTGAAAGGCCTATGAAGCGGTATATAAGTCTACTGCTATTGCTATTGCTATTGCTATGACTGTTTTTCGCCCTCCAGAGGCTTTAGGGAAGCTCTTGAAGCCTCTGGAGGGCCTCTGGGGGGGTGGGAGAGCCTGTTTTCGCCCTCCCCAGGCTCCTAGAAAGCCTCTGGAATCTAGGGAGGGTGAAAAAAGCATGCCAAAAGTGGGAGGGAGGCTCTGGTCATGCACGTGCGGGGGTGTACATGCATGCAGGGGTCACACATCTAGCATTATACTTCCCTCACTTTTTGCAGGCAATCCAAAAAAGTTTAGCCATCACTGGTATAGGGTTTTCTGCCTTAGCAGGGAGTTGGAACTCCAAGCTCCCTTCCAACTCTGTTATTCTGTTAAGTGTATTCAAGAACGTTCTGCTCCACAAAGTCTCAAATTGAGAGATGGGCAGCAATAAATTTAATAATACTAATACCTACCTTGACCCTCAGCGATAAACTACCTTGACATAATTGTAGGGCTTGTGTGCTCTGAGGAAGATAATTCAGAGAACTATGTCAGAGATTCAGCCATACTGGACAAGTCTCATCAGAGGAGGAAGACAAAGGGTATCTCTCATAAAAAATATGGTGAAATGTAGTGGTGAAATCCAAAAATTTTCCCTACCGGTTCTGTGGGCATGGTTTGGTGGGCGTTGTTTGGTGGTCATGTGACCAGGTGGGGGTGGCCAACTTGTAAAATGTGGTGCAACTCACTTAACAACACTCTTCCTTAGCAATCAAAATTTTGGGCTCAATTGTGGTCATAAGTTCTGTTTTTCTCTCTTTTCTGTTCTCATTCTCTCTCTCTCCTCTTTCTTTCTTCTCTCTCTCTCCTTCCCTCCCTCCCTTTCTTTTTCTTTCTTTCTCTTCCTTTCTCTCCCCTCCTCTCTCTCTTATTTGTTTCCCTCTTTCTCCTCTCTCATTCTCTCCCTCCAGCTTTTATTTCTCTTTCCCCTTCTCTCTCTTTGATTTGTTTCCCTGTCTCTCATTCTCTCCCTCCAGCTCTCTTTCATTTCTCTCTTTCCCCTTCTATCTCTCTCTGATTTGTTTCCCTCTCTTTTCCCCCTCTCTCATTCTCTATCTCCATCATTTTCTCATTTCTCTATCTTTTTCTCCCACTTTCTTGCTCTCATCTCTTTCATGTGTGTGTGCGGCAGCAAAATACCCTCCTGGGCTGGGAACATGGCGGTGGGGATGGCGACTCCTCCCCCCGCTGCTGCCACTGCGCAATGTGGTGAGTAGCTGGCTGCGCGGCGCAGAGAGCCCCTGCATCTCCACCAAGGGCCACCTGCCATCAGCCTTACCAACATGGTGGGTCCTGCAGCTCTTTGACCCCTCTCCTGTGGCTCCCTGTTGACCCACTCACACAACCTGCTCTCCATCCCGAGAAGGCATGAGCCTCTCCACAGAGCCCCATATCATTTTCTCCATACTGCCTGGAACCAACTGCTTTTTGCAATTCCGCGTCCTTTGAAGGTAGCTCAGCGTCAGCTGTGATCCCGTTCGGCTCAGGAAGGAGGGGAATGGGGAGCAGCAGCAGCTACCATCACCGGATGCAGGGAGGAGAACTCCAGCTCTCCTGTGCAGTGCAGGAGATCCCTGCACAAGGAGAGCTGGGGACAGTGCAGAAGAGGGGTCAAAGAGTCGCAGGACCTAGTGCATTAGTAAAGCTGATGGTGGAGATGCACCCGTTGCTCTGGGGCTGAGAGGGGCAGGGGGCAGCAGGGGTGCTCTGGGAGGGCAGGCAGTGCACATGTGCAGCAGCCTGGGACATCAACCTGGCGCCTGCCCCTCCGGAGCACCATCGCCACTATCTCTCTCAGCCCCAGAGCAGTGGCTGCATCTCCACCAAGGGCTGTCTGCCCACCCACTGGCCAGGTCGGTCTGGACGCCGATCTCGGAATGCAAGTGAGTGGAGGCACCACTGGGAGGGCCATGTGGAAGGCAGGCAAGCATGGCATGGCTGCAGGGAAGGGAGTAGCATGCTACCTCCCTTCCCCATGGCTAGCCAGCCCCGACATGCTTGCCTGCCTTCCACACAGCCTTCTGCACAGTGAAACATCAATATCTGCCTATCCTTTGGAAGGACTCGGTAAGTTGATTAAAAGGCCAAATCCAGTCTAAACATCTGTGACCAATCGTAATAATATTAACACCAGCCTCTTGCAGGTCTTTGGCAAGGACTCGATAGATGGATATAAATTCCAAATGCAGTCTGAACATCTGGCTGACTGTGCAGTGAATCCAGTGTGGGATTCAATTTTTTTTTACTACCGGTTCTGTGAGCATGGCTTGGTGGGCCTGGCATGGCTTGGTGGGCATGGCAGGGGAAGGATACTGTAAAATCTCCATTTCTTCCACACTCCAGGAAAAGGTTAGTGCAAAATAGATGGGGGTGGGGCCAGTCAGAGGTGGTATTACTGGTTCTCCGAACTACTCAAATTTTCCGCTTTCTCCAGAACTGGTCAGAACCTGCTGAATACCACTTCTGAATGAATCATAATATGCTCTCTGTT